GCACCAGTTATAGCTCTTTTCTGCCTGGCCCTTTAGCTCCCTCTAGTGTCTATAAAGAGACACAGTGGCTCAGTGGCTAAGATGCTGAGCTTGTCGATTTGAAAGTTCGGCGGTTCGAATCCCTAGTGCCACATAACTGAGTGAGCTCCTGTTTCTTGTCCCAGCTTCTGCCAACCTAGCAGTTCGAAAGCACGTAAAAATGCAAGTAGAAAAATAGGGACCACCTTTGGTGGGAAGGTAACAGCGTTCCGTGCGCCTTTGGCGTTTAGTCATGCCGGCCACATGACCACGGAGACGTCTTCCGAAAGTGCTGGCTCTTCGGCTTTGAAACGGAGATGAGCATTGCCCCTTAGAGTCGGGAACGACTAGCACATAGGTGCAAGGGGAACCTTTACCTTTATCTTAGCAATACATTTTTCCTTTGCCTGGATAGCATATGTGATGAGGGACCTCTGCATGTTTTCGCAGGAAGGACCTCCCGGTCAACCCAGGGAAGGGCTGACCATGCCACCTTCCAAAGATGTGGTCAAAATCGCTGTGCAGATGATGGGGGCGATTCCCCAGCTCATCGAACTGAATCAGGTAAAGGATCCTGACATCCTTTTTTTTAAAAACCCATTTGGCACATGGAAGAGTTGTTGCCAGCTCAGAGGTGCCCAATTTTATTCTCCGTGCACCGGCTCGGCTTACGGTTCAAATCATGTGGAAACCCTCAACATGCCATTTATGTTTAATTACAGGCTAAGCCTCTGTCAGCAGTTGTGAAAGAAGTCTGTGAAGTGTGAGTAGCTGTTCTTTTTATTTATTTTTTTGCTTTTGCTTTTGTAGCAGATCAGCAGAAAAAGTCTGAGACTGATTCGTAGGGCAGTTTCGGACGGAAGCTGCTGCTGGCTGCCAGATGTTTGCAAAAACTGACTGCCTTTTCCCACGCCTGCTTTAAGTTATGGGAGATCTGCCTGCTTTCTGTTTCATTAATACACTTTAGCTTTCTTAAACTTGAATGTTGAACACATCTTCAAGTTGTCAAAGTTGAAAAGCATGGCTATATATCAACGAAGCCCCCAAACTACTGATAGCAGCCATTTATCCAGATGTTTGCCCCTTCACCTCCTCTTCACTCCTTTTCATTCTTTCTTCCTCTCCATCTTCTCTTCCATCCTCCTGCTGGAATTAAAGGTCTGTACTTGTCCATATAATAAAAGAACAACAGAATTGGAAGGGACCTTGGAGGTCTTCTAGTCCAATCCCCTGCTCAGGCAGGAAACCCTACACCATTTCAGCCAAATGCTTGTCCAGTCTCTTCTTCAAAACCTCCAGGACTGGAGCCCTCACAATTTCTGGAGGCAAGTTGTTTTACTATGAGGGAATTTTCTCCTTAGTTCTAGGTTGCTTCTCTCCTTGATTAGTTTCCACCCATTGCTTCTTGTCCTGCCTTTAAGATGCTTTGGAGAATAGGTGACTCCCTGTCCTTTACGGAAACCCCTTAGATATAAGAACACTGCTATCATATCGTTCTTCGTATGTTTTAGACGTGTTTTAGATAAGAGAAGGTGATTTGTATCTGTGAAAGAATAGAATAGAATGAATAGAATTCTTTATTGTCCAAGCGCAGGGGTGAAATTCAGCAGTTTCTGACATTCTGGAGAACCGGTAGCAGAAATTTTGAGTAGTTCGGAGAACCGTCAAATACCACCTCTGGCTGACCCCGGAGTCAGGTCGGAATGGAGATTTTGCAGTATCCTTCCCCCAGGAGTGGGGAGGAAATGGGGATTTGCAATATCCTTCCCCTGGAGTGGGGAGGGAATGGAGATTTTGCCGTATCCTTCCCCTGCCATGCCCACCAAGCCATGCCCACAGAACCGGTAGTAAAAAAAAAATGAATTTCATCACTGGCCAAATGTGATTGGACACCCAAGGAATTTGTCTTTGGTGCATATGCTCTCTCTGTAATAAAAGACAAGATACATTCATCATGAATCATAATGTACAAGACTTAATGATAGTCATAGGGTACAAATAAGCAATCAAATCATACTAAGAAACAATATAAATCGTAAGGATACAAGCAACAAAGTTACAGTCCTGCAGTCATAAGTGGGAGGAGATGGGTGATAAGAACGATGAGAAGATTAATAGTAATAGTAATGCAGACTTAATAAATAGTTTGACAGTGTTGAGGGAATTATTTGTTTAGCAGAGTGATGGCATTTGGGGAAAAACTGTTCTTGTCTAGTTCTTTTACATATTTGCAAGGGAGAGAAGAATCAATTTTACGAATTGGAAACCCATCGTAAAAGAAATGAAGTTTAATTGGCAGTTAGTTCAATTAGTACGAAGAGTTATTTTGTCTTCACTATTCCCTGTTTTGGAGTGTGACTTCTGGTTTGTGCACACAGCCTTGTGTGCTGCCTGCACAACATGTTTATGGGGGTAGGAAACCGTCTCTAGGAACTGGTAAAGGCTGAGTAGGCTGTTGCACAGAATTTTACTTCCCCAATCTGGGTGTGCATGTGTATATACACAAATATAGGCAGGTATAATTTCTCCTTAATTCCATCACCCCTCCCTTTTTTGTGAGGGTCATGTTCCTTTCAAGTAAGCACAAAGTTTGATTAAACCTTATAGAAAACTTAGTTGAGTAGCAGAGGAAACATTTGTATGATTCAGACAATTTATCTCCTTGAAGATCCAGGTTTTTTTTCCTGGGAGATTGAAACACCCAATTGTTGTTTTTGTTTGGGGGGGGATCTCTGTACCCTGGCAAAACTCCAATTGTTTGTCTCTAACATAGGTGGAACCTGAATAATTCCGAGCGCTATGCTCTGCAATACGTGGATGGCCAGCAAGCCTACATTACAGAACTGGTGAGTGGATTTGAGAATGAGTGGTGTTTTTAAAAAATGCCTGCTGTTCTGACCGAGGCTTCCCAAGAGCAAGAAGCAAACACCTTGTCCCGACAAAAAACCCTTTTATTAATTGACTGTGAATTCTGCTCATTCACATCCAGCAAAGTCTTTCGAGGGAGGATTTATAGTCACAGACCTTATCTGGCTTGGAGAGCTGCCAGGATGATATCTGCAAAACTTGGCAAAGAGTCTCGGAGAGTCACAAACCAATGAAGCAAACTAATTGTTTCCTGCAAACTCCACTTCCCTTTCGCTCCTCTTTTATTTCCTCGGGGAGGGGGGAGCATTCATGGTCCACCTGTGGCTTCACTCCCAAGTCAACCCCTGTTCTTTAGCTGTTCCCTTCGTCTGGCAACTCTGCACATGTGCACACTGGGAACAGGCTCCAGCTTTTCATCTGCTTCACTGATGTCTGACTCTGAAGGCAGCTGATAACTGTCATATGGCCCTGGCCCCTTCTCTGCCTCCGACACAGAGCCCTCATCAGAGCCTTCCCCAGACTCCAGGACTGGCCAATGTTCCTCCCCAACCTCCTCACTGTCTGAATCTGCTGCCAGCTTCGCTGGCTGCTGGGGGCCACAACACCTGCAAGGAAGGTTATAGCCTGGCCAGGAAAAAAAAAGATGGACATTGAATGATTACCATAAGTAAAACAATTTTCCCTGCCTTTTATTTTTCAGTTCTCCTAGAAGGCTAGTTAAAATGTTAGCAAGATAGAAATTTGGAAGATTGATTTGAACTTTTTCCTCCCCAGTTCATCTTTGATTGCTTTTATTCAGTATTTTGAGATTTTGACTATGCAATTTTTTTCTTGTGTTGTTTTGTTAGAACCGTGGAGAAATTAAGAATGGGAGCATCCTACAGTTGACAACTGCTCCGGTAGGTCCTACTGTAAACAGGAAAGCATTCCGAATTTTATCTTTGCTCAAGGACAGTGTCTGTTATAGAAGCTGTAGTTTGCAAGCACGTGATTTCTGCATGCTTTCCCCCCATTATTTTCAATATATATTGGGCTTTTGTCATCTTGCAAATATTGCAAACTAATCATTAGAACAAAACGAGATAATCCCTTTACATCCTGCTGGCTCCTCCATTTACGCACATCCTTAGGGTGATGATGCATTATTTTATTTTATGTTTTTGCAAATACAGGAAACAGAGAATGTTTTATCGTTGTGTTATAAAATACTTTCAGAGCGAACTTTCAGACGCTTGCTTCCCACTCGGAAGGTTGAGAGTTCAATCCAAGGCAGCGACAGATGTTTCTCTATCAGGGCACAAAGAGAAAATATCTGCTGTGAACTCCATGTAGGTGTCAGGAAGGGCATCCGGCCAGTGAATGCTCAGCTCAATCGTCCTGATCCCACCCCGAAGCAAGACATCGTAAAACGGGGGGGGGGGGGGGGAGGATACTTTCACATGAGGCTTTTATTGTAAAATCATGCAGTTTCCTCCATTGATTTTCATTTTTTATTTTTAATGATTGGATAGAGAATGTTGATGGCCAAAGGCCATTAATTTCTTATCACGGTAGCCCTTAACACATATTCCGGCTGCTTCTTTCTTCCTTATTTGGAGGAAATTCATAGGAAAGTAAAGACTTGCTAAAGAACGCTTTTAAAAAAAACCCACCCACATCCTGGATACTATTTTTGCCTTCTATTTATATCAATACTTTTTGATTGCTTTTTCTTTTTGCTACTCTGGCTAAATTTCACAATCCTTGCTGTTTAAGGTTCCAGGGCTTAGCAGCAAAATATTCTTATGCCCATTTCAAAGGCGGATCCCAGAAGCAGCAACGAGATGAGCTGCGGTTGTGTTCCTTTTGATATTTTGACACGGCTTTCCTCAATCTAGATCCCTCCAGATGTGTTCGTTGGGAATCTTAGGACTTGCCCTCCCTACACATCTGAAAAATGTGAACTCAGCAGCAGTTGCTTTGATGTAACTTTTGCTGTTGCCTTGAGTCAATTCTTGGTTTCATTTAGTTATTTTTTTTGGTGGTGGTGGTGGGGTAAATCACCTTGATGCAAATGCATAACTTACCTAAGGTAAAGGTTCCCCTCGCACAGATGTGCTAGTCATTCCTGACTCTAGGGGGCGGTGCTCATCTCCGTGTCAGAGCCAAAGAGCCAGCATTGTCCGAAGACGTCTCTGTAGTCATGTGGCTGGCATGACTAAATGCTGTTCCCTTCCCACCAAAGGTGATCCCTATTTTTCTACTTGCATTTTTTAACATGCTTTCGAACTGCTACGTTGGCAGAAGCTGCGACAAGTCACGGGAGCTCACCCCGTTACGCGGCACTAGGGATTTGAACCGCCGGATTTTCAAATCGACAAGCTCGGCACCTTAGCCACTGAGCCACTGCGTCCTACCTTCCTACGATTTCCCCAAATGTGATGCAAATATATATATATATACCGTAACTAGAGGCTGTGCTGAGATTGAGAGAGGAAAAAAGGAAGAGGATCTGTAGACACTTTATCAGCAGATAAGGCAGCTTGCTACAGACTTATCGCACCCACCAGGATTTTCAGCCTGAGGGATGTGCAAACAAATTGGGAAAAAGAAATCCAGAAGCATCTGAGGAGACCTCCCTGGGCTTCATGATCTCACCAATAAAAGGAGGGCTGGGGGATTCCTATCTCGCTTCTCGTGCTTTTTGTAATCGGAGGCTTATTTCTTGTTGTTTCAACTCATTTAAAGAATCCTCCTTCCTTGATTGTGCTCTGCAGTTAACCTGGCAGCGTGGATAAATGCTCTTTTAGTGGCATTAAATAATTGCCGTTCATTGGATCAACAAGGATTTTGATTCTGTGGGAAGAGCTGAGTTACCCCTCTTTCCATACATTATTTTAGAAAACCTTATAAAACGCCTTTGCTTTTTATATCAGCATATCTCAAAGACCACTCAAATGAGAAATATAAACTGGAGTGGAGAAGATGGATTGACTATATTCAAAATAAATACGAGATTAAGAAAATTCCAGATAGCTTATGACTGAAGGAGCAAGG